CTACATTGGGAGAATCCTGTAACTATCCTTAATTTGTTTTTCCTATTAAGCTTTTAACATCTTTTATTTTTAATTTTATCTTATAGTCTAGCTACTGTATTTTTTCTTATGATTTGTATTTTATTTACCATACTGCGCCCTCTGATGGCATAGTAGTGTAATAAAGTTATTATTATTATTATTATTAACTAACACTAAGTTTTGAATAATCAGTTCGGTCAGAACTAAATATAACTCCCAGAATATTGAAACCTGCTCCTAATAGAGTAAACTCACCGAGTTTTACTAGTTTTCCTGCAACCCTCGTTGGACTACTGAGCAGCATGTTGTTGCTAAAGGTAACACTTCCGGTTGACCCTTGTACCCACAATGCTCCTGAGTAGCTTGTTCACGTTATCGGATGAATATATGCCGAATTATAAGGAATAATAGATAACCGGCAATTTCTCCACCTTACCTCATTCAATGATTTATTTACCACGAAAAATAAATTATTATTATTTATTAACACAATATGAACTATATGAAAAAGGCATGTCAGTATTTTTTTAAGAATGTTAGAATTACTTTCTATGCTCAGTGATTTTTACTTGCTGGTTACAAGGTTTGTAGTGGCGGCGAGTTCAAATAGCTTGAAAGTTGAACCCGAATGTTACATTTTTTGACTGTTTTGTTGTTATTATGTAACCGTCAATTTAAACGAAAATATGGCACATTTTCCTTCCGAGGCTGACGTCAATATGGTGCTCGCCGTTGTCCAAGGTGCATCTGTTTCAGCTGTGCGGCGTAACCTACTTATTACAGGGAATGTGGAATCGACTATCAACAATGTGTTGGATGGAATGTTGATTGTAAGTTTCAATCGATGTCGTTTCTGTAGTAAGAAATGAACTCGGTGTTCATTACATAATACAATGTATTAGGCGGTGCGGAATACTGATCATTTGGAATATACATGTTGTAGTCATGCAATGTGCACTTTGTAACATTTGCTTCGTTTAGTACATATTTGTTGTGGTGCAGTACGAAGACATGTCTTACTTTATGCAGTGATTGCGTTGGTGTTGTAATGTAAGTTACATGGCTAAGTTTTTAATGTTGTCGCAATATTGAGATTAGAACACAGGGGCTTGACGATCTATTTGTGTGATTGGTTACTGAAGTCAAAAATGGACGTCTATGGTACAGGGACTTATCTAAGTCACAACAATTTATTAACACATACGGTAACAACCTACTGAAGGAGGTTAAAGCATGGAAGGTAAAAACGCTAGTACCTTCCATGGTTAAAGTAACCATTAAAGTTAAAGTCTAAGTAACCATTCACTGAGAATTGAAACAGGGCGCCATACTCAGTTGCCAGGTAGCAAATGAAAGAATACTATTATATCTTCCCTGTAACACAAATCAGATGAACAAAAATGAACAACACTTTCTGATGTATTGCCATGTCTATGCCCAACACAGGAACATTCTATTTATGAAAGTAAGGAAAATATCCCCAAATTTCAATAAAATAAACCACGACGATAGTGTACCTGATGATGTATTATTAGATAAATACATCATCTATTACCGATATGCTTTCAATTACTAGGATGAAGAGCCTGACATTGAAACTGTTTCAAATCCTATGATAGTGGAAGACACAAAAGCAGAAAAAGAGTCAACAACAGAAGAATACCTCAGTAGCACAGACATCAACAGTGACAATAGTGATATCAGTTTGCCTGCTGTTGATTTCACAACAATTAAAACCAAGAATATCTTAAACTCTCACACTTCATTGCAAAACTCTATAGTGAGAATGGAGAGTCCAATTGAAATTAGTGGTGAATCTAATGATGGTGTACCATCACCATGGCGGGATTGTGATCATTATATGTCAGTCTTGGAAAATAAAAGTAAGGATCACTTTAAAGTTAAACCAATTAGAAAATATGGAGCATGGTCTGTTTCAAGTTCAAGTTCAGATGAAGATGAAATGTTACCACTGTCACTGACACATAGACTACAGCAAAAACTTCAAAAAAAAGAAACTTGTGGTAACTCACAAATATCATGCCTAGGGAGTCAAAATAAAGTTTGTGCTAGCATAAGGTATCAGAGCAGTTGCTATAGTAAAAATGATTCTGACTATAAAATTCAAGATAGATATGATGTAATTAAAAGACGTGCAATGGATGATAGGGAAATGTGTGAAGGCAGCGGAGAAAATGAAATTGACATTAATGAGGATACTCCAGGTGCTGTCAGAAAGAAAAAACGAAGATCTCCTGAACAGATTGAAGAATTAAAAAGACAGGCACTGGTGAGTTGGAAAATATTAAATTGATTCTGTTTGTTGGTGTAGCAAGTAAGAAATTTACAACACCCATTCTGTGTATCATGAATACAAATGCAATCCAAGAAGTCAAGTTAGGTATTAAGGTTTATCAACCCAGTTTGATGAAGGTGGGTGTGCTCAGAGTGAATGCGCAGAAGTTTACACATGAGAACTCTTGCCTTTGCTCATGTACAAGTCAGTGTGAAGCTACTACAAATATTGTGCTTAGTTGGCTACCCAACAGTCAGAGCAATCAGAGAACAGTTTGTTTGTTGAAATTTGTTGACATATCAAATTCTACCTTGTATTTGTGCTTTGACTCAATAGTCAAAACAAACTACTGAAACTGATGTATCACAGTCCCTCTATCCCTGTTCTGGAAAGGCTTGGCAGTCTATATTGTCCCAGGGCTGTTTGTGAGTAAATAACAATTTGGACAATTAGCCTTGTAGCTGAACATTGATCTTTCTAAAACACATGACGAATAGAAGGGGGCCAACCGATCACGATTGTTTTGAAGTGTTCCAAGTTGCGATCCCTGACAAATTTAAGTGAGATATTCATGTATAATAATGTCAGAATGCCACTATAGAAAGACTTGCCGGCTAAAAAATTGTGTTGAGCTTCTAAATTTATATAAAGTATCAAAATATATGGTTATTTTCAGTTGTAGAAACTAGAATATGCAGGGAACAATGAATCGATCGTTTCAATAGAATGCTCTGCTATCAAGAGACTATGCTTCGCGGAAAGCCATACTCGGGGCTGTCTGAGCACTGAGGGTGATTCATAGACAATAACCGTTTTTAGACTGTATTATGTAATACATGTATGTCTGTGATACCAATTTTTTTTTTTCTACATATGATCCTATATAGCATGAGCAATCAATCAATTCACAAAATATAAAATAAAATTCAAAGACTTTCCTGAAACTGTATTTATCAACCTTGTCTGGTCTAGTCAATGTAAAAGTACATGGGGCTGGCAGGATAAGGGTTAATATTGTAATGTACCCATTCACATGAGTCATATTTCACAGTACACTACAGAAAATATAAATTTGACTTTAATTTAAGGATGTAGTAGACTTTCGTGGTGATTTTTTTTTTTCATTTTTTTGACGTGCCAGGAAAGAATACATTAGAATACTTGTGTACAAGTGTATGTGTTTTATGTAAATCTGAATAATAATAATTGTTAAATAATGATTAAATGCAGACAGACTTTATTAATTGATGTTTGTGAAACAGCAACTGAAAATGAAAAAACAGAAAGAGAAGACAGAAATACAGCGACAGAAAGTACAACAGATGGTGATGAAGGAAACTGAAAAATTACAAAAGGTGAAGGAGAGGGAAGAGAAGAAACAAGAGAAAGAAAGAGAAATGTGCCGGAAGAAGGTAAAAAATCAAATAGCATTATTCATGATGACGTTTAATTCTGACAAACAAATGCGTAAACAAAATTGAATTGGTTGCAGATGTATTTATAATTTTTGGGACATTGATTTAATTTTTCAAAGTTTAAACAATTTTTCAGACAGTTATAAATAAATTCTTTTGGAATTCAAATCAAATCACAGCAATATACATGTAATGCAGTTGTTTTTATCATCTTGCACACATTGTCATTGTTAAATCTTTTCCATGCACTATGTAGCCTATGATTACATGATTATGATTAGTTATTTTTTAGTATTTTAAACATCCTGTTATCATGACAAACACTAGTAATATTTCAAGGTGCATAATAACTATATTTTGATTTACATGTCAAAAACGCATTCATATGATATCGGTAACATTGCTATTCATGCCAATTTTAATTTTATTACCAGGCTGAAAGAACTGCAGCAAAAGCAGCAAGACCTGAAGAATGTTTGAAGGTGGATATAAATCAGTTGTTCTACTGAAGGCAAATAAAAAGAGCAGAGAGACAATTTTACTGATTATGCCAACTCATGACATAAACACATATTTCTTGGATTACTATGAGAGTATTATGAGAATACTGCATAGTATATGCACAAAGGCAGTGTGACCATCGTATTCATAGATGCATAGTGGATATCAATTTAGTGTATTTTTATGAACACTTTATTATTACATATTTTTATTTCATGTAATCATGAATTCACTACGTTCAATTGAGATAATAACCCAAATCCAACTTTTTATGAGATTCATGTCTGCTTGGACTTTGCGATCACTGACTGCAATCTGTTTCCCTCGGGCAAAGAAAGCAAAGTGTTCAAACACTTTCAATGTTGCTGATATCATTTTGTTTGGCCTCACGCGGTCTAGACCCGTAGCATGGGCTGACGAAGTGTGCGTGAACGCTTAGCCCAGGGCTAAGCGCCCTCTGCAGCGACCTTTGGGTGTGAACATTATGCACGTGATCAAATATATCCAACTTTCTCATTCCCAAAATGGCAACCGAGCTCAGTGTACACGCTTCCACACTGATCGGGTCGCTGTAGTAGAGCGTACAGCAGCTCCAATCGAAGACAAAATAAA